CACAATCCTCTTCTTGTAAGGTGGTGCAACAATACAAGGGTAAAAAGAGCTTGTAGATATGAAAACATGTGGCTTGGGGATGGTCATGTTTTTTTATGGGTAATCAAAAAAATTATTAAGCTCAAGGTGGGGGAGAAAAACCAATCTCCCCTCTCAAAAGTACAAAACTTCTATCTACAATGTATTACTGGAATAATACACTACAAGCACTTTATCTCCTACAAGAACAACCCTTCCCACGCATTACTAACCTATGCTATAAGCATTAAAATCAGATTGCAGAGCCATATCCCATGCAATAACCACCTCTATAATACTCTTGATACGAGCACAAACTCCACCAACATCCATAGCAGCATCCCTATATAATCTCTTAAACTTATATTTCCACAAGATGTTGACTGTTAAATTCCAAAGTAATCTTCCAATTTTTGAAGAAGCTTGCTTACCTTTGAAACTTCTCACTGCCCACCTACTGTAATCCTGAAAATCATAGCAGGGTCTGCAAAATTTATTGATAAACCCTAAGCTGTACTTAAGGACTTCAGCTGAGAAAGGATAGAGGAAAAATAAACGGTTCCTGGTCTCAACCACTAAGTTACAAAGCAGTCAATTATCATCTCCCGTGTTTCCCAGGCTTTTAGTTTCTCCTTAGTGCATATCATGTCTTTAAGAACTAACCAACTCACTAGACTATGTCTTGGCAAACTGTACTGAGACCATAGCAGAGAGTATCAGGGTACTATAGGGCTTCTCCTTCTAAGATCTTCCCGAACCATCTTCACATAATTAAGAGTACTTTAGATATGTTATTCCAGAAAAATTGGTTTCCCCAACAAGTAATAAACGGTTCCACCTTGTCCCTAATCTTCAAGAGCTTACTCCACATCCGAGTGTTCAACTACTAGGTCTAATCTCTCAAAAAAGAGGATGATCATTTTTTTCAATAACTTGAGTTGGTGGCTTTTATCCCCAGTTCAAGTAGTCGGTCCCATTTTCTAATGGACAGGAGATTACAGGACTTGAAGTAGAAATTAAAATTTTGGAATATAGAGATATTTGGAAATATTCATAGGTAAGTTGATGACTTGCTTGTGAAAATTCAATGCTTGGATTCTATTGAAGAATCTCGTCCTCTTACTGAGATCAAGAAATTAGAGATGGGTGTTTTGCAAGTTGATATGGAGAAAGCTTTGAATATGCAAGATATTTGTTGGAGGCAAAAAATCTCATGAGTTATGGATACTAATTTTTTCACAAGATGACCAATTACCAGAGGAATCTGAATACATTTGATCATATTAAGGTGAACAACTAGAATTTGGAGGGCTCTTAGGAGGTAGCCCATGCCATACTTTTACATCGATCTGTTCATGAAGAGGTTAATAGTCTCTTCCATGTACATTATGTTAATTGGAAGGTGAGTGAGGGTGATTGTAAACCTTCTCTGTTGTGAGTTCACGGTGGGTGAAATCTGGGCAGCTCTACAAGAGATGTTGGGCTTGGATAAGAACTGATATCCTCAATGATTTTAAGGATTTTCATAACTGGTCGACTATCAAAGAACGCTTCCCATTCCTTTATATGCTTAGTGCCTAAGAAAGATGCAGTCGAGGATGTCAAAGATCTTAACTTATAGGGATTATTGGGAAGCATCAATAAACTGTTTAATAAAGTCCTTGCTCATAGACTTGGAGAGTTCTTCCGAATTTGGTGTCTAGTTTTTAGAAAGCTTCTGTTCACGGAAGGTAGATTTTGGACGACTTGCCTTATTTCCAATGAAGTTGTTGGTAGTAGACGGAAAAGCAGGAAATCAGGTTTAATGTTTAAAATGGATATTGAGAAGGCGTATGATAATGTGAATTAGGGCTGCTTCTTAAATGTCTTAATGAGATTGGGTTTCCCAAAAATAGGGGAATTAAATTCAAGGTTCATTTTCCTCTCCTTTACCATCCGTATTTGATTAATGGCGAGGAAAATGAACAATTGTGCATATCACAAGAATACGATTTGTTCTGGAAACTTGCTTATTTTGGATCCCTGTATGGGCTAAATGACATTTCTGCATATAATTCACTGAAAATCAATAGTATACTTGTTCAATATCAACAACAAAATTTTCACCAAATCATAGCTAATTTGTAAAAGATCATTATTATTTCAACCAAGGGAGAAGGAGAGTGTAATAGGGATCCTAAAGAGGAAAATGGATAAATTATGTATAATAGGTACATTAAGAATGTAAATAATAGTTTTTTTTATTGAGTACGGTTAATTAAAAAGTTAAAACAATATTTAACCTTATGTATATTTTTTAAATGAAAAAACCTTAGACAAAATTCTGCCTAGGCTTGCCCCAACTTTCAGAGTAGCATATTTCAAAGAAATAAATATTTTATTATTCATTAGTTTTTAATTGACAATTGGATCCATGAATTTTATTAATCATTATAATGTACATTTTATATTTTGATACTCCAAATTTAATTTTAAATGTAAAATCATTGGAAAATATTTTGGTACCTAAATATTATGAGATTTTCGTACCTACAATTTTTTAAATTTACATATTGGTTCAATGTTTAAATTCCACTTGAATCCATGAATCCAAACCACCAATCCTTTTGAACCAATTTATGAATCCAATCCATCATAACATAAAAGATAAATTTAGTTTGTACAATACAAGATGTTGTATTCGACTGTAGGAGAAGATTCGACTATTTTATATTCGACTGTAGGTGAAACATTAAATAAATGATAAAGAGAGACGACTCTAAAATATTGCAAAATATTTTATATTTTATAAACTCATTTAGTACATTACGGCGAACTAAACAAACTTCTACTAACTACATGTAACAAAATATGCAAGATCTCCTAAGCAGGGGTCAATTAATTGCTACGGTGAAAGGGTTGACTGCTGTATTGACGTCCAACTAGTGGTCAAAACCTTTCCATTATCTACTTCCTCTTCCTTTCATTTTTCACTCGCCTTGCATACCCTTTCTTTATTTCTTTCTTTGCCTTCTTCGTCTAAGCATAATTAGTATACTATTTTTATGTATTCTAATCACAAGTATGAAGGGGTCCATACACGACTCAGCAACAGTATAGAGAACTAATAATTGAACCATGAACCACTAACCTTTTCATCTCAATGTCGAGTCCAATTAAAAATAAATATATATGGTTATTAATTATTAGAAAGACGTCATTTTCTACTATGGGATTTGAAGGCGTGAAATTTTAAGCGAGTTCCAGTTTTTTTTCCTTTTACTTCTCTCTAGAGTTTTTCTTTTTCACCCGACCTAGAATTTTCAACAAATATATTTGGAATGTTTTGTCTATGTATCTAGACATATCAAATAAATAGTTTCCATTTTCTATAGAAAAGTAAATAATTATCATCTTAGATACATCACCATGCACAAAATTAAGTCTCAACTATACAAATTACAGTCATGTACATAAACTTAATAGATCTTTAGATTTATAACTTAATTTTTTGGCATATAAGTCCTCAAAATATTGATGGAATATTATATTTTAGTACCTAAAATATTTGTGTATTACATTTTGGTACCTAAACTTTTGAAGTTCTACAACTAGGTCTAATTTTTGTATATGTAATTAAAACACTCTCGAACAACTAGTATCCATACCCAACTCATACACATTAAAATGATGGAAATAAATATTCATACCCTATCCAAACCCATCTACAAACTTCCAAACCCATATATACGTCATCCATACCCTACCCATAATCAATGCATCTACTTTGGCTTAGATAAATATCATTTACTAGCCAAAATTTTCAAATTGGATGTTGACCCCAATATATCTCTTCTCAGTCAATATCATATTGTCAAGTCAATATTACTGACAAAACTGCTAATAAAAAATTTAATTTTAGGCTAATAATGCTAACAAAACATCATAACGGGCCACATAATACATGTATATTGGTCATCTCCGTCCCGCGACAAGGGCGCGACATCGCCACCTAATTTCCATAATTTCAGATTTTATTGTTATAAGATGAAGAAAACACGTGAGTTTATTGATGTTTAGTGATGTATAATTTACTTGCGGGGCTGCTTTACCATGCTGCTGCTGGTCACACACACTTGACTTGTCGATGGATTATTCAAATTAAATAACGAACTGAGCATGTAGCCAAGCCATAGTAATAAAGGAAAACACAACACGCACCTAGAGATAAACTAACTAGCAATTGACCATACAGTTGAAACAGACAATTCCCTCGTGAATCGGCAAAACATGGAACATTAACAAAAGATTCTCTACTCAAATGATCATCAATCACACAGTGGAAGTCTCCCGCCATCCTTCCCTTCCCTTCCCTACCTTCCTTTTATTTTCCATTTCTATAATATTATAATATGTTTATCTTCCGCCTCCTAATTTATCAATATCAACTTCATGAATACAAAATAAAGCCCAGCCATTGAAGCTTGCAAATGTATTGGTGGCTATTATATATTTTCCATAAAATAATGAGCTAAAAGACCAAATTTTAGAATACACTGCATTCAACCCCATCTCCTACTGCTCGAGTCAATTATGATTACTTTTTTCATAATCTATGGAAGAAAAAAAAAATCAATCTCACATCTCAATTATTGTTATTCTTTCTCTAGAAATTGTCCGTCCTTCACTACGAGTTTAATAAATCCAACCAAACGAAAAACGAAGGGGGAAAAAAAAAAAGGTTGACTTAAACAAGTGATTTTTCTTGTCCTACTCCATTCTCCTTTTGTGCTTTTCCCACTCGTACTAGAGAGTCGGCAACGAGGTCACACCGCATTAACAAAAAAATCAATTTCACTATACGGAAGGACCCATTTCCCCCTTTTAATTTCCACTCCTTTCAGCCGCCCTTGCTTACATAACAATGCCTCTGTCCTAATCCCCGCCAAACCTCCATCCCTTATCTCCTCCCCAAAACCACCCACCGCCGGCCGTCTGCTCCCATGGCGCCCTCCTCCACCGCCGTTTCTCCCTTCTGCAAATTCCTCAGCCCTCTCCTCTTCCTCCTCTGCTTCCTCTCTCCCGCCCAATCCGACGACCTCCAAACTCTCCTCGCACTCAAATCCTCGCTCCACAATCCCAACACCAACGTCTTCGACACCTGGACCGCCGCCACTTCCATCTGCGGATTCACCGGAGTCACCTGCGCCGCCGCCGACAACACCTCCGTCGCGGAGCTCGAGCTCTCCTCCTCCAATTTGAACGGCCCCCTCCCGCTCGACTCAATTTGCCAGCTCAATTCCCTGGAGAAGCTCTCCCTCGGCCACAATTCCTTCACCGGAACCGTGCCCAAGGATTTGAGCAACTGTACCAAACTCCGCTACCTCGATTTGGGCAACAATTTCTTCACCGGCGAGTTCCCGGATTTCTCGGCCATCTCCCAGCTTCAGCACCTGTACCTGAACCAGAGCGGGTTCAGCGGACAATTCCCCTGGAACTCGCTCGCCAACACGACCAGTCTCGTCGCGCTCAGCCTTGGAGACAACGCGTTCGATCCGACACCGTTTCCTCCCGAGATTGTTCGGTTGACTAATCTCCGGTGGCTTTACTTGACGAACACGAGCATCGTGGGGAGAATTCCCGACGCAATTGGGGACCTCACCCAGCTTATTAACTTGGAGTTTTCGGATAATTATCTCACCGGCGAGATCCCTGCTTCGATTGGAAACTTGCGGAACCTCTGGCAGCTGGAGATGTACAACAACAACCTGACCGGCAAAATCCCTGCCGGGCTCGGGAACTTGACGCTGTTGGAGAATTTCGATGCGTCGAGGAATCATCTCGAAGGAGATTTGTCGGCGACCAGGTACTTGACCAATCTAGTAACTCTCCAGTTGTTCCAGAACGAGCTATCCGGCGTTGTGCCGCCGGAATTCGGGGGGTTCACCAAGCTGGTCAACCTTTCTCTGTACGAGAACCAGCTGTCGGGTCATCTGCCGGAGAATCTGGGCTCTGTTTCCGGCTTTGATTTCATCGACGTGTCCGAGAATTACTTGACGGGTCCGATTCCGCCCAATATGTGCAAGAAAGGGGTGATGAGAGGACTTCTGATGCTCCAGAACAACTTCACCGGCGGAATCCCAGCCAGTTACGCCAATTGCACGACTCTGCTGAGATTCAGGGTGAGCAAGAACTCGCTCTCCGGCGAAATCCCCGCCGGGATTTGGGGGTTGCCCAACGTGAACATCATAGACATCGAGGACAATCAGTTCGAAGGCAGATTAACGGCTGACATCAGGAAGGCGAAATCACTTGGACAGTTGCTCGTCAGCAACAACCGTCTCTCCGGGGAACTCCCCGAGGAGATTTCTCAGGCGACGTCGTTGGTTGCCATCTCGTTGAGCGACAATAAGTTTTCGGGCGAAATTCCGGAGAGTGTCGGAGGGTTGAAGCTTCTGAGCAGCCTTCAAATGCAGAACAATAACTTAAGCGGCTCAATTCCCCGATCAATAAGCCTCTGTAATTCTCTCAGCGATTTAAACATCGCCAGAAATTCCCTCTCCGGCGAGATTCCGTCCTCGTTGGGATCCCTGCCAACCCTCAACGCTCTAAACATCTCCGACAACCAACTCTCCGGCAGAATTCCGGGTACCCTGTCATCGTTGAAACTCAGCCTCCTTGATCTTTCCAACAACAGATTAACCGGCGGCATCCCTCTGTCCCTGTCAGTCGACGCTTACGACGGCAGCTTCGACGGAAACCCAGAGCTCTGCAGCGAAACCGTCAACGGGTTCAAACGCTGCCGTCGTGAATCGGGAATGAGCAAAGATGTCAGAACTCTATTGACCTGCGTCGCGGTTGGATCTTTGATTTTACTCGTTTCATTCGGATCTTACTTGCATCTAAAGAACAGAGAAAAGGAAGACGGCGATCGATCGCTGAAGGAAGAGAATTGGGATGTGAAATCGTTCCACGTGTTGACATTCAGCGAGGACGACATTCTGGATTCAATCAAGCCGGAGAATCTCGTCGGAAAGGGAGGATCGGGCAACGTCTATAAAGTGACTCTCGCCAACGGCAGAGATGTTGCTGTGAAACACATATGGACCGCCGGCCCGGATGATGGGGGGAAGCACCAGCGGAGCTCCACGCCGATGCTCGGGAAGCGCGGCGGCGGAGGCGGGAGAGGGAGGTCGAAGGAGCTCGAAGCGGAGGTTCAGACATTGAGCTCGATTCGACACCTGAACGTGGTGAAGCTCTACTGCAGCATAACGAGCGAGGACTCGAGCTTGTTGGTGTACGAGTACATGTGCAATGGGAGCCTATGGGATCGACTCCACACGTCGCAGAAAGTGGAGCTCGATTGGGAAACGAGGTACGAGATTGCTGTCGGTTCTGCGAGAGGATTGGAGTATCTGCACCATGGATGCGAGAGGCCGGTGCTTCACAGGGATGTAAAATCCAGCAACATTTTGCTGGACGAGTTTTTCAAGCCGAGGATTGCTGATTTCGGGTTGGCTAAGGTTGTTCAATCCGGGTTGGGTAAGGATTCGACCAGGGTCATTGCTGGAACTCATGGATACATTGCTCCTGGTAAGTTAGTTATGAGGGTTTTTTCTTCTTTCAATTTCATATTACTTGAGACTAGAGCTCATGGTTCTTTTTGTGGTGATAGAATATGCGTACACGTACAAAGTGGACGAGAAGAGCGATGTGTACAGCTTCGGGGTGGTCTTGATGGAGCTTGTGAGTGGGAAGAGGCCGATGGAGCCCGAATTCGGCGACAACAAGGACATAGTAGATTGGATTGGAAGCAAGTTGAAGACGAAAGAAAGTATATTCAGTATTGTGGATTCTAAAATCCCTGATGTGTGCAAGGATGATGCGATTAAATTGCTGCGAATTGCCATTCTCTGCACGGCAAAGCTTCCGAATTCGCGGCCTACGATGAGAAGCGTGGTCCAAATGCTTGAAGAGGCCAAGCCATGTAAGCTGTTGGGGATCTTCATTAGCAAAGATGATGGTCCTCCAAAGACAATTGAAGTATTGGAGAAGAAGCCCTAATCTAGAAAGAACATCGAAGTGATGAATTCGAGCAGATTGGGTCACGTACGGTTTATGGGGTCAGCCCAGTTGATGGGGTTTTGGAGTATGTAATGTATCATAAAGTTGTGAGATATAGTCGAGGAGTCGATGATTTAGCTGTAAAGTAATCAGTGGTAGATAGAAAGGAAGTAAGGTGGTGTTTGTTTGTAGTTTTTTGTGTGGTGATGTTGTGCTTTTGGTTTCTTAGTGGCGGAGCAAAGGCTCCTTTGTTTTTTTACAAAGTACATTGAAATTCCCTTACTTGTAGCACAAGCCAGTCATTACAATAAGGGAGCAACCACATCAAGAATTTGTAACCATTGAGATGGTAACTGGTTTCTAGCACAAGATCTAGCAACCCAATTAGCTTTGTAGTTGTTCCTTTGATTGAAGTGTTGTACCTTGACCAAAGGATCCTTTGTTGATGGCATGAAGTTGCTAAAAGATTTGGTGGGACGCAGTCTTTTCTCTTCGAGACAGAATCTTGTTGCCAATTTGGAGTATAGGATGAAAATGGTAGGATTTGTGTAAATGGGTTCTTAATAATTGCTACTATAAGCCAATAACATAAATCGGCTGATTAACTCAATTCTACCGATTAGTACCAATGTCAATTCAATTACAAGTGGATAGCTCCTTTAAAGTTTAGGGTATGCCTACGCTGACATGCATGTCACCGTAACTTGCACTTTTAGGTCGATCTTATATACGATTAGGTCGACTTAATCTACACTTTTAGGTCGACCTTATATAAGATTAGGTCGATCTAATATGCCGCTTCAGTTTTGTGAGGTTCCCGAATACACTAATGTGGGCACCCTGATGACTTATCACGGTCAATCTTTAAAATGTAGTGGTCGACCGTTTGTAGTTTAAGTTGTCATTGTTGATCGACCACAATAAAACATCGGTCACCCTTTTCATTGGCGTCAGAAGCAAAATGGTCGACCGTAAAGGTATATAGGTCGACCACTTGATGACGGTCATTAATAAAATGGTCGACCATTTACAGAAAGAGGTCGACCAGATAGAAGAGAAGTGTTGTATCCATTTATCCATTATCATTTGACGTAAAATGAAGATCAAGTGTTGGTTTCGGGGTCGACCTAATCCGGTACGAGGTCGACCGAATACAAGAAAATCACTTATGTCCTGCGTCTTTTTTGCTTATGTATGTCGATGTGGGTGATTCTTTTGCTCGTACAAATTTCATTTCAAACCAACAGAATCAGTCATAAATAATGATAACAAGGACTCATAACTTTCACGTGGTCGACCTCTTGAATCACGTACAACAGCAACCGTAAAGGATCTTCTTCATAAAAGCTCTAACCGTAAAAAAACCTAATTCAGAGTTTTGGTGGCGGTGAAGGTGATATATATTCATATTTATAGATATTTAGGACGAGAATGGGTCCAATTAAGTGGTAGATAAGTTAGAGTTACCTTTCTGGTGTTGGAATCCTTATCCTATACGAATACGGTGTGCACGCGGTCGACCTCATACTTATGCGGTCGGCCTCAGTTAATCAAAATGGTCGGCCTATGAGGTATTTGGGTCGACCTTTCATTCTGTTCGCTTCCCAATGAGGTCGACCATTTGCTATAAAAAGTCAACCGCGTCGTTGAACCTCACAAAACTGAAACGACATATTAGGTCGACCTAATCTTATATGAGGTCGACCAAAAAGTGCAGATTAGGTCGACATAATCCTGTATGAGGTCGACCTAAAAGTGTAAGTTACGGTGACATTTCTAAAGTTTAACCTTTAAAGATCTTAAGGTTTTTGCTTCATTCTTGGACTTTAGATAGTGTGAGTTCAATTCCTAACACAAACATACATTTGGATGTATTATTATTTTATTATTATTAAAACTTACCTGTGTGTGTTGTGAAATATTAGAGGTGGACAACCGGTTCGGTAAATTCGAACTGAACCGAACCGAGCCAAACCAAACTAAAATTGAACCGAAACCGAATTTGCATTGTTCGGAATTCAGAAAGAAAAAATGGGTATTTCGGAACCCAGGGTAGTCACCCCCGAACCCGAATTCCGAAACCCGAACCGACAAACCGAAATCCAATCCTCCCACAACCTAAAGCCCACCATTGACCACTCTCTTCAGACCCCAGCCTAGTCCCCCTATAACCCTAAGACCAACCCATCTAATTTATATGCTTTATCAACAAACTCACTAACTCTCACCACCCAACTAACTCCCGCAGCCCAACCCTAATATACTCCATCCCCAACCTCCCTCCCTATCAATCCCACAGCGTTGCCGGCTTTGATTCACCGCCTTACTCCCAGTGTCCCCATCAATCCCGGCTGCAGCTACAACTCCATACATCGTTTTACCGGCATCAAATCCAACGGGGGGCGCACCATCGCCGACGCGAGCATCCTGATCTCTATTTCTCTCAGTCTTTCAAATCCAGATCTTGAAACTTTCTTCCCCTCCTGAATCGAAAACAAAGACGAAGAATGAAGCTTGATGGAGAAAATCGAACTGAGAAACACCATGCATGCTTGGATCTCAAGCACACTAATCTCTCACATTCGTCGCCGGATTCGTCGTCGACGCGTCGTCACCGCCGTTGATGCCTTTCGCCGATTACCTTTCCGTTAGAGATCTCTATCGCCGCTTAGACAAGCTCTATGTCGACTGCTTTTGTTGGCTGTGGAGAAGGAGAGAGAGAGAGAGATAGAGAGGGGGGGGGAGAGAGAGAGATTTTCCAAAGGGGAAAACTAAAAAGGGTAAGTAGGAATTGTTATACAAGTTCGGGTTTGGACCTTAAAACCGAACCGAGCAGAAATATAATTCGGTTCGAATTCGATTGGGGTCATGGGCTGATTCGGGGACTCAGTATGCTCTTTTTTGCTTCGGTTGAAACCGAACTGAACCGATACCCACCCCTATGACATATCACAAACCACCTCCTCGGCTCCTCCGCCTATGTTAGTGAGGCTTTGAAAATAAAAATGCTAGTTCAATTTTGACTTGAAATACTAGTCTAGTTTTGTTGCCTTTTTCACCTTACTATATAAATTAAACGGTTACTGTACATGTCAAATTTAAAAATTTTGTAACCTCCTTTTAACAAATTCCATACCATTTATCTACTTGGACTACAACCTTCATGACATTTCTAGCGAATTTTACTAATTTGAGCAGGTTCACTACTATGGTAGCTCGCTAAATCAAGGTTTCCAATGTTCACGGTGATATAATGTAGTTGTGTTTTTTAGATGAAGTATTGTTATTCTTATTTACTAGCTTATAATCCGGTCCATTGGCCAGAATCTTTATATTTGATTATTTATATTTTCATATTACGTTTAAGTCTATCAACCTGTTTAATTTTATTGATAATCTTTCGATCGAGATGATACATAAAGAAAGAATATATAGATCAAACATTTGGAGAAATATAAAAAGGTATCATTGATCTCATTTTCAAAATGATAATTAAGTCCCCGGTAAAATTCTATTAGTTAGTTGATGGTCAAGAAAGATAGAGTATAAAAACTCACAGAAATTCCCTCACGAACCATATAGATAGTTTAAAACTAAATCTTAAACCTCGCAATCCTACATAAAGATTCAATGCTCTCCTTTTAGGAACAATATGTCACTAATCAAAAAGAAATGAAGAGTTGTTGATTCAAGTCAACTATATGCTAACAACTCACCTAAGAGGGGACCATCACAACTTGAGAGCAAACGCCAAAATTAGGGTTACCTCCAATATACTAATAGATTCGATCAAAGTAATAAGGAACAAAATTAAACACTCCTTCTCTATCAGTTACAGCAGGTAGAATAAAGAATCGACCAACCTACTTTAGTAAATCAATTGATGATTCCCCGTTTTAAGATAGAAGTAGGTTGCGATAGCTTCAAAAATCATAAACCTAAAGATCCAATAGCCACCACTCTGCGTTGTACAAATTTTTTTTATCTACTTTATCTTCAATCTCAAGAGGCGTATGTTTCAACAAAAAATTCAATTTTTAATCCTCCTTCTGCACTTCCATTTATTGAACTCCATTTTATTCGCCATGGATTGATATCGGAGTTGAAATTTTTTACTTGCCCAGTTTAAATACCCCTAAATAAAATCGTAGTGCCAAGAGACAAGAAGATTGATTTTCAAAGGCAGTCTTGTACTTTGAAGTGAAAGGGGCGCAAACTATTGCACGATAGAGGGAATTTCAGAGGAAATTAGAAAGAGATAAGAACAAAGATAAAAAAGTATAATTTAAATATAAATTGAAAAATGCAAGAACAAAAAACGTAGTAATAGAATTAGTTTATTCCATGCTGGCTAATTACCGATTCATCTTTAGCGAAAATTAAGGAGAGAGTAGTGATTTTAGAAATGAGAAAGTACATGAAACTCTGCTATGAAAATTGCAGTATCAAGCACCATAAAAATACATACGGTAGACTAAGTGGGCTTGCTAATCATGATGAAAAAGTCCTCTGATTTTCAGAGTGTCACTTTGTGTATGTTTTGTATTAAAAAAGATAGGGGTGACAAACGGTAAGTCGGTAAACGGTTTACCGTTTTACCGAACCGGTAACCGGCAGTAAACGGTAAACCGTTTACCGGCGGTATCGGCAGTCGAGGGTCAAATGGGGAAGCTCGGTTTACCGACCCCAGTATCGGTAAATACCGACGGTAATTCGGTAATACCGATACCGGACCAGTTAAGGCATTAACTAATAACATATACTTCATTATTCACAAATATTACATACATGAATGAAATTAAGTAAGTATAGGCCTCAAAAATATTATAAATAAGAGTTAATAATAATTTATTAATTACAAAAATGAAGAAAAAACTCAGAAAAATGAAAATATTACCACATCACCCCATTGCCCAGAAATTCGGTTCGATAATTTTCCAGTAAACCGAACCAAAAAACCGTCCGCAACTACTCTTTACGATAAGTCGGTAAAACCGATTTGTAACCGTTTACCGGTAATTCGGTAACCGGTATCGGTAATCGATTCCCACTTACCCACACTCGGCATACCGAAAACCGGTTACCGACTGAATACCACCCCTAAAAAAAGATACAAAAAAATTTGTTTTGTGTAATTGGTTGCAATTATTGTCTTTGTTTGAAGATACCTAGATTCAAATTCTTATATTGACATTTTTTATAAGGAATAATTAATTATAAAGACAAAAATGTCCTTCCTGCTTTCACTCTCGT